TCCAGTTAAACGTGGCACGGATGGAGAGACACAACTCACAAACTCTTGTCTGAACTGCCTCCTATATTTTGTGATTACGAATTGTGTTTTCAAATTGGAACCTTGGTTCGCTCCACAGTGAAATAAGAGCCAGCGTCTCTTCTCCACTCCAGTGCCTCTTTGACTGCCTCGACGCCATGTTGTGACTGGAATGTGATCATATGACCACGTGACACAAACATCCGGGTTCGTAGAAAATACAACCTGCTAGAAACTGGCTCTTTCTGTGGTTATTTTATTGCTGAGTTTTATCACTGAGGAGACATGCAAATAAATTTATTCCTGACATCCTCCTGATAAACTAATCCAATCAGAAGAGCTGCTCTTCTTATTCAAACCGTCTCAGGGAGTTGAAGTAAAACTACTTTATGACAAGGTATTTAAAAAAACTCCACTCAAATGAATTTTACTTCACCCTAGTTGTAATTTAAAGTGACAAAGCATTTAATATATGATTTTAGTCTTAATTTGAGAGTAGTGTAGCTGCAATGACCAGTTAGATACTGGTGAGATCTACTAAACCGTGAGCTTATATGACCGTCACCCTGTTCAGTTTATCTGTGTAAGTGTGTCTCAACTTATTACGTTAGATATTATCTGTATCTGGGACGCTACTTTGAGCAATCTGGTCTCTGTATGAGTGCAGTGAGCGTTGTGACCGAGGCCATGGTTCTCTCACGGAAAAGAGTGTTCCCTTCAAGTGAGGAGAGAAACCCTGTCCCGGGTAGAGGAGTTTAATACTGCATTTGACCAAAGGTTGTAACTCGTAATTTCCAACCTCCAACTAGGAAAAACCAACCCTCCACTCCAAATTCCTACTCGGAAACTCAGGATGGTGTCCTCAACTCCAAGTTCAGCAAGTGACATCAAATCAAAATGGCTGCTCACTGCATGACTGGTGAACACAGTAACGCTTCTTACCTTTAAATGAATTATACTGTATATACAGGTATTTGCTTTAGATCAATTAACATACAGATATATCAGCATGTTAAATCTATAGTACTGACTATACAGGTTACTGTTTTGAGGAGGAAAATAAGTTGAATGCAGCATTACAATCTTAATTATTCTTTCACGAGTAACGGAAAAAGAGAGTCGCTGTACTGGTCTGCGGTGGTCAAGCAGTGGTTATGAGCTGTGTTTAGTGACTGAAAGAACAAGATCAGGAGTACAGACATCAGAAATGAGGTTGGTCGTGTGAAGAGCTCGACAATGCAGAAGAGCCTCGGAGTAGAGCCACTGCTTCTCCGAATTTAGACGTGGTTTGGGTTTGACCCCTGACCTTTCTTTATTACCTGAGCTTCATATCTGACCGCCTGCTCCCTCCCCCATGAGAGCACACACCACCTTTTTGGGTTTTTTCAGTTTTTTTTTATTTTTTATTAAATCATTAAATTGACACACATATGTCAGAAATGAAGTTGGTTCAAGTGTGAAGAGCTCGACAAGGAGAAGAGCCTTGGAGTAGAGCCTTTGTCATCCTTATAGAATATGAATATATTAGACATAGTATTTGCTATTTAGGCTGGTATTTGACAATAGTTGTAACTTGTACAGTTTGAAACTCTTGACCAAAAGCAATTTATATACCAATTTTGGTTTCTTTGGGACTGTTATTACCCTCATGTTGCTTTGAAATTCCCTTATTATATGAAAGTATTAATGCACTGGCTCTATACCTGCCTGTCTGCTGCCTCATTTTATCCAGCACACGCACACTTGCAAAAAGAAATTATCTGGTGGGAAAGCGTGCTTTGATCTTCTCACGAAAATAACTGCCGTACACACAACATTGTCAGTGGACGGTGGGTGAGCTGTATTTACAACACAATTCACTTAAAAACATTACATAAGCCAGTGGGACAGAGAATAAACATTTGTGAATAAACATGTATGAATAAACATTTGTGTTTATTCGGATGCGTAAGTAACATGCATCATGACGTCATTCTGTAAATAAAGTTTACAGCATATAGAAAATGGAAGTTTTGGGTTTTGGTGTGTATTTGTAGAGAACCTAAAACTGCAAGTTAAAAAAAAGGAAGTGGAAAAGACAGCAGGACTCTTGGGCTTGGGTGTCACTCTCTGTTGTGGTTAAAACAGATGCGTTTCTGCTGCCATGTGTCTAGAAAGGATTCAGAAATGCATTTGGTGATAATTGGGTTTTGATATAATGATTGACCCTAAAGCCAAAATGCATTATCCAGTGTAGCAACCTACAAATATTTTGAAGAAAAAAGTTGAAGAGGACATGTTCTTAGTGAAGATAAGCCTATATGATCATTGGCTTGATATTTAGTTAGGACGACTCAACATCACAAACAATTCAGTCGTGTGTATGCCACAGATCTCACATCCCTGAACTGTGAGAGTTGCTTTGCTCTTTGCGTTGAACCCAGAGACTCGCCCATGTTGAATGAAAATAGTATTTGAACTGAAAGATATGGTCTTTGCCCTCAGCTGCAGAATGCCTCCTGGAGGATGTTAAACTATGCCTAGGAGGCCTGTGTTGGATTTTTTGAGAGCCCTTCACACCCTCTTATTTCTCCCAGGCCTGAGCACATGTGATGCAGCTCTCTCTGTGATGGGAGTGATCTGGCTGTCTGGAGTGGAAGTGACTCAAGGGGAGGTTACAGAAGACACGGAGCAGGAAGAATAGTTATAGTACACGACACTCTCTTTTCGTTCCGCTGGCCACACTGCTTTGTTTTGAAGTACAGAGATGATTAATTCCAGTAAAGAGTATGTGCTTGTGTTAAAGAGTGTTTAGAGGAACATTGATTTGTTTTGCAGTCTACTTCTAGTCTCTTTAGTTTTGACTGCACAATTATGTACATATTGATAACTTTAAAGCCTAAGTATGCCAGAAAATCTTATTAAAATAAAGCAACAAGTATTGATATACTTTCAGAAAGACCACTGTTACAGTCGGATCAGTAATGTAATAATTTGGAACAGAACCAAAGAGCTTTTGTATAAGCAGCTTTTATGTTTTGTATAGTTTAAAAACTTGACTGCAGTTAAAAAAAAAAAAAGGGATACACTGCAATAAAATGGCATCTTGGCCAGTAAATTATCATGAATACAGTCAAAGTTATCTAGTACTTACCATTATAAGATTATTAAACCTACATATTATTAGATTTATTTATTTATTTATTTATTACTTAGTTCAAGCTTTAAATTTTCTTATTCTATTGGCAGGTAATTTTGCTTATTTCTAGAAATAAATGCTTAAAATGAGCAAAAATTAAAAAAAAAAAGTGTAGAAATAGGCTTGTTGAAATATACTTAATCATGTATTTGGTTTGTTGAAATACTAGATAAATTCGACTGTATTCAAGGTATTTCCACTTGCTAAGATTTTTTGTCATTTTTTTGTAGTGTAGGTTGCACATGAGGTATTTTCTTTTTGGCTATTAACAGCAAATTTTACTTTTTAATGAACTTTAATGCATTTTTTTTAAGAAGGAGTGAAATCTAAAAGGTTTAAATTACTGACGTGAAAGCAGTGCTTCAAGCCTATAAATCTTATTTGAGAGTATAAATGTGATCATTTTTTTAGCATTTTAAAGGACTGTATAGTGTGCAAAAGACGACATGCTGCTCAAGCATTTAGTCATGCACATGCATTGAAAAAATGTAGAAAATGAAGAAAGACAAAGGAGGAAGGTTTTTAAAATCATACTAGGATCATCCTCTAGTCCCTTCTAATATAATTGGCACACTTCTTTTTAACTTTTTTTCTCACTGTATCACTTTAAAAGTGCCAGACAATATTGCATCTAGCTTTTGCTTTTCTTTAAATTATCATCATGGAAGCATTTGAGAGGCCATTAAAGGATTATCCGAATGAAACATTTATGCCATATCATCATTAGCGGGCGTGCTTTATTTAAGGATTTAGTGTATAGCAGAGTTTGCTTCTTGCATTTCGCTGACTTTCAGTCGTCTTTCTTTAACGAACCGTCTTACTACAAATTTTATCCGAGGTTTCGGGAATTTTTTTCACTTGGAATTATCATTGTTCACTCTATAAAACCCCCACCCGGTCTTTTATGAGGTATAAAAAAAGGTTTTCACTTTTAAATGGTTACATCCAAAAGGACGTCAAGAACCCTTTAGAAGAAAAAAGAGTGTAGAGCTGGTCACCATAGGAACCTAATGCTTACCAGAGCTCAATGGCTGATGTCATTTAGGCCCGTTTTCTCCTGCAGGAGTAGCTGCTTCAGTCTCAGGGCGCAGTTGGATTTCCTGCTTCATCGTGTACAATGGGGGATGCATGGGTGGGAAGTGTGTGTGTGTGTGTGTGCGGGTGTGTGCCTCATAAAACTTTTCACTAGTGATGGTTCATGGCTATAGTCTTTATGCTCCAAGCCAAACCTTAACTACTCTTCAAACCCACTGTATAATGCATTTTTTTTTTTTTAATTTTCTATACAGTACTGTGCAAAAGTCTTTGGCACCCTATTTTTTACAGAAAAATGTTTGTATATCAGTAAAGAAAGCAGCATATTACATAAGAGACCACTTTTCAGACAAAAAAACATAATGAAAGCTGCTGGGTTTTGCTGCAAAAATAAGAAGCAAGTGTGACAGTCAAAGTCTCCAGAAGAACTGTGGCTGCTTCTGTAAGATACTCAGTAAAACTTACAGCTCATTTCCTTATAAAACTGCACACATTGTGCCTGAGACTACTATTTTTTTTTAAAGCAAAGGATCATCACACCAAATATTGACTGTTTCATTTATTACTGTTTACTGCTCTTTATAGTATTTTTTAAATGTAGAAACATTCAATTTCATTATTTTTGAAGGCGTCTTTGCTCTACATTATTTCTTTACATGTGCCTAAGACTTTTACACAGTACTGTATGTTTTTGGACTGATATCAAACTTTTCATAAAGGTTTTGATCTGCTTTACTTCTGTCTAATCAACAAACTCTTCTTTGGGAAAGTGGTGGCTCAGTGATTAAGGCTTTTGGCTACTAATCAGAAGGTTGTGAGATTAAATCCCAGCACCACAGCTGGGTTCTTGAGAAAGAAGTCTTGTCTCAAGCGTAGGTTTGGATAAAAAGCATCAGAAACCGTAAATGTAACTGTTGCGTGTGTGTTTCCCAACTTTTTAGACCGCCGTTTCATTCGAGGTGACGTTACAGGATGACGACTGCATCATGATAACTCTCGAACCCTCAGATCTGAGGGACAACATCACTGCGTATGCTGCCAGGATATCTGGAGAGCCTCGCACCCACATCCTGCCCTTCCAGAGTACCAGCGATGGCCACCTGGCTCCTTCTATCCTTCTTTATAACACCACCTACCATGGGTTCTGTTACACCATCAGCCTTCTACTAGCCAATGGCTCCACGTGGACCAAACCGGTCAAGACTGTGACTCTGCTCACAAGTGAGACAGCTTTCTGGATCCGTGTTAAAAATCTCTATACACTGTGTTCTGCCGCTAAAACACTGCCTCCTTGTTCTCGTCAGAGCCTCTTCCATTGGAGAGTGTGCAGATTTCAGACTACCAGCCAGCTCCGGAGACCGGCGTGGTATTTGAGCTCCGTTCGCCAGAGAGAAACAGCTTTAGCCGGGTGAACATCAGCTACTCCGAGGGCAGAGAGCAGCGCTTCATGCTCTACAAAGGTCAGAACCTCTCTAGAACAGACAGACACACTTCATTAATTACGATTAAAATGTATCTTTAGTGGTATTTCTCTCAAACGATTGGTCAATCGGTCATTTTATCCAGATTTTCAGAAAGGCAAAACGGTTTTTAAGCACTGGTTGCCTGGGACGTGCTACAGCAACATCACCTTCCAGCTCATCTCCGAAGCCACGGTCAACAAAAGCACCCTGATAAAAAAGAGTGAAGTGATCCACGAGCCGCTCCATCACAGGACAGGTATCCCTCAGACTAGCTTCTAGAAGCTTCTCCTGGAAATGTGTGTGTGTGTGTGTACTGTAAATGTATTGCTGGAAATGAGTAAGCAGGGCAAGTATTAATAAAATGATTTCTGATAAGAAGTAAGGAAACTAATTTTGCATGTTGGTGAGTGAGCATACACAGGATACACAGGATATAAAGAGAGCAGGATATGAGGATGGTTTGTAGACGTCCATTTTAAGTCGATATTTTTTTGAATTACTGTTTTCATACCGCACAGCTTTATTCAACTCATTTTTTTAGAATAGAGGAGTCATTCTGAATTACATTGGGTTCATTGTTTTCATAAGGGTGCCCGATTATCATCTGTATGTTCGACAGTTGCTGGGAGGGGGAGGGGGTTCAAGGCTTATTAAAGATAATAATCCTTGCTTTATTTGTTGTGTGCTTGTCTGTCTAGTACCCAATCCTCCTCTCAACGTGTCTCTCAAGATTGTCCACCTCAATGGAAGAGGCTTGCCTGTGACTAACTGGCGCGAAAAGGCGTCCCATGACACCCGTCTGCCACGAAAGGCACGTGACGTTCCCCTAACAGAGGAACAGCTAGAAACAGAGGTGCAAGACAAAGAGGAAGATCCGAGACCCGAAGAAGAGTCGCAGTCAGTTACCCAGAGACCTCTTGCTACCTCTGAGAACCTAAACAGCAGCTCAGCGCCGTTCGTTAACGTCGTAAATGTGTACACACCTGCTGCAGAAAATATCTCCACTAACAGCAGCGACGTGTCAGAGAGCGAGAATTCCACTGCTTCCTATTGGCCAACGAGACGTCCCTCTCCCACCGAAGGGGAGTATGAGTTTGTGAATGGAGTGGCTCCAGAGTATGAAGACTCAAAGGAGCTTGGCTCAGCCATGGATCCCAGCCTAGAGCCCACTGACGGGTCCAACAAACCGTCCTCGATTCTGCTGGAGCTTCGCTGGTTGCCTCCCCCACCACCCACCACAACTGACGGCTTTAATGTCTACATCTATCGAGACAGTAAGTCAGCTCTGCAAGTCGTACTTCAGTAAAGGGGAACTAGCATCAGCTTTCTTTTTTGTCACTTTTCTTGCTTTTATTATGTTTTCTAATTACAGCTTAAAATATTTAACTAAATATGAACGTGTACATAAAATACAAAGAGAATGTATGCAAAATGATTTTAAACATTTTAAACTCATGTGTATTTATTTATTTATTTATACTGCATTTCGAGTGTTTTGCTGAATAACATAAGAAAACATTGATCACTGAGAATTTCATATTTTCACCCATTTTCTAGGTAACACGACTAAAACGGCGACTGTGGACGAGAACACTCATGAGTTCTTCACCGAGCTGTCGGAGCCTGGGACATACCGTGTTCTAGTCACCACCATCAGCTCCTCAGGAGAGTGTGAGCCCCGAGAGAGCGCACCACATCGAGGATTCACCTTCTACCTCAGTGTGTATTCTCCACTCTCACTTACCTTAATGCTGCACTGTAATCTAATGTGCTGTATAACGTGTATTATTTCGTCATTGTGTTTGTGTATGTGTGTGCTCCAGGTCCTACAGGAGAGTGGCTGGAGCAGCCCAAGGAGCGTCCACAGGCGGTGAGTGTGAAAATGCTGGGGAAGAGCACAGCCTCCGTGTCCTGGGCTCCATCCAAGCAGAGCTACAACGGCAGTCTCATCTCAGTGGTATCTCTAACGTGCCTCAAGCCCAGCCTCAGCCAGCGCATGGAGAACACCTACTGCTCTGAGGTATCACACTCACACATTATGGTCAGCTGCTTTCAGATTATAATAGCAAGAATGACACTGGTAGAAGTATTCTCATAATGTAATTCACATGCAAACTACGAGGCTTGCAAAGCTCCAAGCATGAATGAAGAATATCTGTCTACCTGTCTGATATCTATCTCTCTACCTCTCTCTTGTTGTCAGTGTAAAGTGCATAAGCAAATGTAACTGTTAAATATATAAAACATAAAGCACTTTAATATCGTAGTGCTAGTTTTGTGACCGTAAGTGCAGGCTGTAACCTGACAAAGGGCAGTTGAATTGTTTAAAAAAAAAAAAAAAAGGTTAAGGTTAGAACAAACCCATTATTAGGAGGTTTATATCATTTCATCGTAGCCCTCTTAAAAGTGTTAAGCTATTCTTTCCCAAAACAATGAAATTTTTCAGATTTAAGAATGAAAGCTGACATAAGCCACAGCACAGCAATCTGCAAAACTGTTCCCCAGACTCCTCCCTTTCATTTTGCGATCTCTTGATCCGAAAAAGTTTCTTCAAAGATTTCCACAGTCCTCTCTTAGTCTAAACTAGCCAGGTTGCCAGGTTTGAAGCTTTCCCGCCCAGCAAGCAAGTTTAACAACGGAGGCACAGGTGAAAATTACAGAGTCGTGCGGTACAGGCTACATTACCATGGTAACCAAAAACCTTTAAGTGCAGACTGATAAAAGTGAAAACAGTAACAATGCCAGGTTTTTCCTAATTGCACTGTGATTATATTTTCTATACCCCTAGCATTCAATTCAGAGTTTTAGGATGTTGTGCCCATGAAATCCCCTCCTTAACTAGACTCCTCTTTCACTGCATATGGAGAGTCAGTGTTTGCCAATTTAAGGGCAGTCACCCTTGTGGGGAGCAGTACTTGTACATGTGTACAGTTTCAAAGTGACAGTGTCTAGTAAATAAGGACGTATTTATATTTCATGGTTATTTGTATATTGTACATTCTCACTGCACTCCAAGCGCCCCGGTGGGTTAAACCCTAGAATCACCCTTGTGTGCTGCTGTGATTTCCAATCAGATCAGCTCTCATTCCCTTTAAGTACCATGTGCAGTGCAGCACATAATTACATAATAACATATGATTAGATTTCATCTATAGATTCCGTGTTGACAGATTAAATGGAGAAATAACCGTCTCCCTGACATAACAGATGCATTTTCCTTCCTTTCGGTCCCTTTGTCATCGACATTTTGGTGGTAGTGGAGACTTGTATACAAATGCAAGTGTTTTTATTTTTTGCCTGCATGTCCACTCAGTTTGCTCAGCATTTCCAGATAAATCTGAATCCTCACAATGGATTTTGTTATAAATTACAGGAAAACACCACCAGTGACATCATCACTAACCTGACTCCTGGTGCTCAGTACAGAGTGGTGGTTTATCACACCAACGGACCCCTAATCAGCCCTCCCTCCGAACCAGTCATTATCGATATAGGTACGCACCACCTTGATGTTTTTTGAGTTTATCAGAAACCTTTGAATATGTTTTATTATAGGAAGGAGGTACTCTGTTTTAAAGCACTTCAGCCTGCTATATAAAGAAAAATTTATTAGTTAATTAATTGATTAATTAAAATCAGGCTTAGGAGCATAGCAGTGTGTCTTCTGATAAAAACACAAAATGTACTTTGTATTTTTTTAACTGTGATTGGGTAACCTAACGGCAGAGCCAACAGGAGTGCGAGACCTGGTGGTGTACCCCCTGAGTCCCACGGCAGTCATTCTGAGCTGGCAGAGGCCGCACAACGTGGCCTTCCGCAAATACGTGCTGCAGACCTTTTACTTCAACTCGGCCACGCAGACCGCCCAGTGGACCACGTACTACGAGATTGCCGCTACCGCCTCCGTCATCGCCTCTGTGGTAAAGACAATCAGTTAATCCAATCAGTCTTCAGAGCTGTCTTTTCACTTCTTTCAAAGAACTGTTGGACTAGTCAGCACTTTTTATTTTGCCAGGAAATCAGAATCTAGATCAGTGGTTCCCAAACCAGGGGTCTGTTGATTTACCAGTGAGAAACTCACAATCTCCTCTTTTGTTTCATTGGTTTTACAAATTACTATTAGAAATATTGAAGATGGATTTTGCATACTAATATTTTGAAATGGTACTCTGAGTCATATTTAATAAGGTACATGTTATTTTAGTCTTTTACACTGTCCTGACACGCTGCACTAGCATAGTTCAGCAATAAAAATGGACATGTTCAGCAATAAAAATGGACAAATTTCCCTGTTCATCTACTTTCGCTAAAAAAAAAAATTGCTTTGTGTCTCAAATCGCATATGTACAACTCTAGGCCATTATTGGGTATTAAC